AGAAAAGTTGACTTCGGTGTCGGCCCAACAATGACCTTGAAACACAAACACATGTTAGTTTTTCGCCGCTTTGTTCGCAAGTATTGAGGAATGACCAACCCATATCATCCACCTTCCAATGCTGCAACACACCCTCGACATCATCAGCACAAGTCCAAATAGTATGATGCACATCCCCATCGAAACTATCCTCGACCTTTGACGACGTGCACCCGTTCCTTTCCGCCCACCACCCCAGCCAGTCGGAGATGGCAGGTTCCACACCACCTTCACCCTCGCCACCGTCGTAATGCACACTACCATCATTTCCACCATGGACCTCCAACAAAGGAAGAGGACTCCGGGCCGGGCTGCAACCTCCGTCCACGCCGTCGTTGTCTGTATAGAAGGATCCGGAAGAGGGTGCGAAGGCGGCGAATTCGTCACCAACCTCGCTACAGGCTATGGTATTGACGAAGCCGCCACCGATGGACATGCTGCGGGTTATCATTCATTAGCAGCCAGTGACAAAGATATTTAGTGGGAGGTAAGAAAAGAAAAGAAAAGAAAAACCCTTACCCAGTCGCATAAATGCGGGCATCATCTACACAGTACTCATCCCTCAACTCAGCCAAAAGATCGGTGACGAACTGGAGGTCCTCATCAACCGAGACCTCGGAATAACTAGCGCCAGCCCAAGCACCCTAAATCCCCAGAATATGTCAGTTTTTTTCCTTCCTCTTCTTCTTTTCCGGGGTTAGGAATAAAGTTAAAATAATCAAACATACCCCTACGCCATCAGGATAAACCATAATTTTGTTCGCGCTAAACCGACTCTCACTCAACTTAGTATCAGCCTCGAAGAAGAACCCGATACTATCGGAGCCGTGAAATCCCAGAACCACGGGATACGCTTTCGTCTCGTCATAATCGCCCGGTATATGGACCGAGTAATTCCTTTCGCGTCCGCTGCTCGTGAGGTCGTGGTATGTGGTTATGCCTTTGAGGATCCTCTCCTTGCCACAGCCCGCCGCTGTAGTTGCCCGTGTACCGGCCGTGGTGGGTGCTGCCAAGACGGGCGGCGCTACTAGCCCGACTACGGCGACGGCGGAGGTGATGAGATTGGATGTATGCATCTTCGTAACTCGTAACAAAACGGAAATGATGTCAAGGTTTTATTATTTTCTTCTCAAGCCGCGGCGGTGGTGGAAAGAGGCTCTGAGAAGGAGGTAGATAGAAAATACCATGACTCGAGAAAATCATTTTTTTGCTTGCACCGCGTGGTCAACGTCACCTTTACCTTTTAATCTACCTACCTTCTCAAATCAGGGGGGTTCAGTCAGGCTTGGAATTGGCCTTCCTAATCAAGGTATGTGTATAGCTGATCTGACGCGTCTGGTTGGTCGGTAATCCCGATCACTTCAAAGTTCAAGGATCTCGAAAACCGGTCTCGATAAAAGGGTTGTTTACGAGTAGAAGCATATTTTTAGTCTACAAGTACAGTGATTAAAATCTGGGGTTTCATATCCATATTACCGTCAAGTTACAAGTTAAATCCTCACATTGTCTTGTGAAGATGCCAACAATGCAGCGGAGTAGGTAATAAGCCTCCTACCCCAGTACAAGTAAGGTTAGGCAAGTGCTTACCTCAGCCCTACAAGGGTCGGATTTACAAATCCGTCTAGCATGCAATCTTATGCACAAGTGGATACCTCTATGCCGAGGTTCGCATCGACCGTCAAGTTCAACCCGCCCGCGTTACCTACCCCTTGAAAAGTGTATAAAGATTGCGCCACCAGTGTAACCGCGTTTTTCGTAAAAGGATATCACGGGACTCATATATAAATATATATATATATACATATACCTATAACAAATACACACAATGTCTTCTTCAATCGAGTCAATACCCTGGTGTGCAGCCCTTCTCCAAAAACCCGGCATCGTGACATTCACACCCCATTCCCGCATGGGTCCCGACACAGACGGAAATTACATATCAGGAGACCAACTATTCAGAACTTCGCTCAATACAGAAACAACGGTACCGGGATACATTGGTCTATACCAATCACCTTTTTCTTCGGGGACTACTACAACTCTTTTACCGTCATCCGGGTCATTTCTCATCGACACCGTCCATCTCCTCTTCAATCTCCAACCAGGACTCAACGGGTTCAACGGGACGACACACGGCGGACTAATAGCCGCTTTGATGGACGAGGCGATGGGCTCGTTGCTCTTCATGAATAGTAGGGTGCAAGAAGATATGCGGAGGAGGGGCATGGAGGTGCCGGGGACGGTTGTGGATTTATCCGAGACGCAGATCATGACGGCGAATATGAATATCAAGTTCATGAGACCGATAAAGACGCCACAGGTCGTCATGGCGACTGCGACGCTGAATAAAATCGAGGGGAGGAAGTTTTTCTTGGGATATGATGTTAGGAATGGGGAGGGAAAGGAGTTTGCCATAGGTGAGGGTATGTGGATCTCTTTGAGGAAAGCCAATTTATAAACGTGTGTGTGTGCGTGTGTGTGTGTGTGTGTGTGTGTGTGTGTGTGCTAAGGGATCTTTAAGCGATTTGTATGTTTCTTGGATAGATCGAAGGGTAGAGGATCAAAGTTGAAGTTTTTGTAAAAGGTTTTAGGGAAAGACTAGATGAGAGTAACCTAGGACGGGTGGATGTATGGCTACTATAATACGCTTTTTTATCAGTTCTATATACACCTATATAGCTAATATAAGTTTACGTACGTGTATGGCAGAGTGGTAAAGATTAGGGGTAAGTCGATCATGCTTATCCTGTCACATAAAGCAGTACTTAGCCGCAGGAACTCTCTTATTCCAAAATGTTATTTTTATTCAGTGAATCAAAAATCAAAAAAGAATAGCTGTCAGATGATCCCAGATCGTAGCCACGCCGTTAGAGATCCGTCTTAACTAGCCTCCATCATTGCAGTTCCTTCTCCTCCTCCCGATAGACTTCGTCTTGGATCCCTTAGACAGCCCTCACTAGGTACTTGACCCTCTAGGGGGTCCAAACCTATATGCACTCTTGGAGTATTTAAAACCCATTGAGGCACATAAAGTGAAGTTTCTTCTGGTCCAAATCGCGATACCTCTGGGTCGCACCCTCGATAGTGGCTATCTCCGAAGTACTTTTGCCCTGGAGGAGCTGCTGAAGGGCCCTGTTGACTGCTTTCTGGAGCCTTTTGGCGCTGTCCTCCAACTTCTGTGCGGTCTTCTGCCCTTTCGATTCCCTCGTAAATCTTTCGTCATTGGCCCACTCGTGGAAGTTGTTTGTCAATTCAAAGACCTTGTTACCCAGGTCCGACCAAGCATCGTACTCTTTCTGGTCATAAGACATTTCGGACAAGTTGTAAGATTGTGTTTGAACAATTCCTGGCTTTGGACTGTGAAAAATTGGGAAATTCTGATTGTTTGCTTCTTCGATGTGCTTGTAAGATCATGTAAAGGGCTTGATGGTTGAAATGATCATAGACTAATATTAGGTCGAGCGCTTCCGGCTCTTTTTATACTACAAGCAAGACTTGCCATCTGGTCTACTCGAAATGGAGACACCAACAAGTCTGATTCACAGCGAGTCTGATTCACAGCGAGTCTAATTCGCAGCAAGTCTGATTCATAGGAATGAGTGATACTGCAATCCTGACGCACAGGAACGAACCGATTGCAGTAGTTGTGTATCTCATCCCATCAGTAAGTAACAATAGTATCGGTGTGAAATATCAAAGAATGTTAGCACTTACTTCACATTTTGACATGAAGACCCCTAGCATGTTTGGTTGGATTAGTCTCGGTTCTTCAACTTGAGAATATTAGGGTGATACCTACCTCGTACAGTCTATTCCTATACTTCTGTCCCAAGATGCTCGCGAGATCTAACGCGCAGTATAGCAGTAACACACAACGTGTATGTGCGAGTACCACGAAAATTCCATAGGTCCGGTTCCGCAAGCTTCAGGTTAGAGATTGGTTCAACCGGCTTCTAAGCCCGGCCCCCCCCCCGCCCCCCCGGGGGGGGGGGGGGGGGGGGGGGGGGGGGGGGGGGGGGGGGGGGGGGGGGGGGGGGT